CAAGGAGAATGTTGAAGCAATTCGATCACTTGCACCACTGGAAGGTATAGATGTCTCAAATTTAAACAAGCCCGACAATGTCGAGACGCATGGGCCAGTGAGCGCTACTACGGACTGTGACCCGCCCTCTGCCCCAGGCTCTGCACAGCTCACACAAGAGCAAAGGCTTCGACATGGCGCGGCTTTCGCGACAGACGCTTCCACAAAATCAGAAAGTAGCAAAGGTGCTGAATCGTCATCATTGATTGGTCACCAAGGCAGCCCCTCCGAGAAGGCGGTTGACCTGGCTGGACAGCGCGGCTCTCCTTCCACCCCGGGGCCGGAGCTAGAGCCAGGCACGTCGGCATGTGGAATGCCAACTGACGCTGCTCATGGCGTCGCTGTAGCCAGAGACTGCACAGCAGAGGGCAAAGCCGATGCGGTCGCATTCACCGCCTTGGTCGGGGCACTTCCATCAAACAGTCCCCCGCGACACACGCCTCCTCGTGGGACCACACTGCTCCCTATTGACACTAATGCGCGCGAGTCTGTTGACGACAACGATGGCGATAACACTGGCGGATCGAGTCCAATTGCAAGTCCTACTCGGGACATTGGTGCGAATCCCTTCCGCGGATCGACCAAATCCCAGGTGCTCTCTGCCGGGCGTAGTCCTGTTCTCGGACCCACTTCGGACCCACAGTCTCATGGCCCAGTCAAGTGCTCTCCTGATGCGCAAGATGTTTACACTGAGCAATGTGAGTCCTCGTGATCTCCATTCCTCCTGCACGCGCTGATGGCGAACACTGATCTCCCTTTCCCATTTGACGCTAGTGAGCACTGCATACCGCAGCATGTCTGGCATCCTTGCGTCGATGCTGGGTCATCCAGCAAACATGCTGACCAAGAAAGGGATGCCTTCAGATTTCGCTGCATACTCAAAGCAGAGGAGCCGTTATCTTGGTGAGTCATTGAGCACCAAGCATAATCAGCCTACTGACGCTGAAGCTGATGGGAGGACTTCTGCTTCGCAGACTTCGATATCATAGCCCACAACATCGATTCGCGAAGCTATTCAGCACTTCTGAGTCCGTCTTCGACGCATCGAAGTGCCCTCTCATCATTCGACAGCTTCACGGACGACCTTTCCTGCTTCTGGACTAACATTCGAGGCTTCTTCGGGCCTCATAGTGCAGAGCACAGGTGTGCTACTCAGCTTGAGCGTTTCGCTGGCTTGACCATAGCAGAGTGGCGCAAACGGATTGAAAGCGCATCTCGCGCTTCAGAAGCCAGAGCTCGGTCGATGCGCAGCAAGACCTCTAATAATCTGCATTCCGACGAGGGCGTGAGCGTCACTCCATTTGCTTCTCGAATCCCCTCCAGCTCTGCACGCAAGACACCCAGAGAGAGTCCCGCGCTAGTCAGGCTTCGCAAGAGGCCTGCTTCGAGTGGGGAACCTACAGCTGCGCAATATGCTGCCTTCTTGGCAGGCGCCCAGTCATCAGTCGCCAAATCTCTCCAACCTCCTCTCTACAAAGCAGCAGTGCAACGCAAGGAGCCCCACACAAAGTTTGCCTCAGTATTTCACGACTCCCTCAATAGCGATACGCGCTCGCGACTTTCACCTTCGCCCTCGCCTGCGCCAACGTCGACACTCTTCAAGGCCTCGCTATCTGGCACGGAGAACGCACT